CTCTTAAACGCTCCTAATCAGCACGCATAATGTCCACGTGCCTTCCCCAATCATTTAAGAATCTTTTTTACGTGCAGCGCCCGGCATGAAGAAATGCGCTTGGCCAGGCTCACCAATTTTGTCACGGACCACAGATGCCACGAAACTACCAGCTCTCTCATTCAACCACTTGCCCTCTCCTGTCCATCAACGGCACACACAAAATCAATTGGTCACCTTAAATCAAATACACACAAAAACCACGAGCTCACAAACAATCAGACACTTATTCTAAAAAGTCCCGGCCACTGACTCACTGCCACCACACGGCCCTCCTGTGGAATTTCCATTGCAGTGCTGGCGACTGCCACCACACGGCCCTCCTGTGGAATTTCCAGTGCAGTGCCGGCGACTGCCACCACACGGCCCTCCTGTGGAATTTTCAGTGCAGTCCCGGCAACTGCCACCACACGGCCCTCCTGTGGAATTTTCAGTGCAGTCCCGGCAACTGCCACCACCTCCACAGCCCACCGGCTGCCACCACCTCCACAGCCCACCGGCTGCCACCACCTCTACAGCCCCACCGGCTGTCACTCCCACAGCCCCACCGGCTGTCACTTCCACAGCGACACCGGCTGTCACTTCCACAGCTCCACCGGCTGCCAATCCCATGCAGCCCCACCGGCTGTTACTCCCACAGCCCCACCGGCTGTCACTCCCACAGCCCCACCGGCTGTCACTTCCACAGCGACACCGGCTGTCACTTCCACAGCCACACCGGCTGTCACTTCCACAGCTCCACCGGCTGCCAATCCCATGCAGCCCCACCGGCTGTTACTCCCACAGCCCCACCGGCTGCCGCTCCTCCACAGCCCCACCGGCTGCCGCTCCTCCACAGCCCCACCGGCTGTCACCTTCACCGCTGCGAGCATCACTCGCCAGCGCACTAACTGCGAGCATCACTCGCCAACACGTTCACTGCGAGCACCACTCGCCATCACCCTCACTGCGAGCATCACTCGCCAGCGCACTCACTGCATCACTCGCCAGCACCCTCACTGCGAGCATCACTCGCCAGAGCATTGCACAGAGCGCGGCCCAGCCGCTCAGTGTCCAGTTAGTCCAGCGGCACTAGGTTCTTCTGCCGGTCGCAGTCCACCTCGCCGTATTTGCCGATCCTCCCGGCCGGCTGCATATGGGCCAGTCCAGCAGCAGCCACCGGGACAGACGAGGTGACGGGCGGGGTCCACGGCAGACGCCACGGCTCCTGGGCGACCCCTGCTTCTCACTGCCTCGACAGCTCCGTTGCAAGTCGTTGCAAACGGTGCCGATCACTGCCGCGTCACTGCACCATCGCTCTCTTCAGGCATGTTGCCGAAATAGCTTGTAAAAGGTAGTCTTTGCCAAATTGCTTTGTATTTCTCGCTCACCCTCACACACCACCGTGCGGTCCCATGGCTCGGACACGACTCCCCCTCTTCCCTATCCGGCGCGCCGGCATGGCCTCGAAACTGGGACGAACGGCCGCCGGGACCGCTCCGACGCCAGATGTGCCCCTCCGTCCACACCGGAGGGGACGGGGCAGACGGCGGCCGGCCGACGCTCCCCGCGGCGCCGAGGCGACAGCCTCCAAAACCCAACTCGCCCACTACAATAACTTTAGACCCAATCAATGTTAAATGACATTATTTCCACCATCGTGTTTATTCGTCAAGACATGTCATTGTCGACCGCTCTATAATTTAACGTAAGGCCATTTTTAACCCTCGCCCTGGCAGGGGGGGTCGATGCGACCCCCCCCCTAAGGTTTTTCGAAGATAGCGTAAAAACGGCGGCGCGCAGCGCCGCCAAATTTCGCACAGCCTATGGGGCAACCTTTTTACATCTGACCTGAAAATGTCAGGTCCGGGTGACCTTGGGTCAGGTCACCAGGTCAAAAAAAACCGGTACAAGGTCATGGTCAAATTTCAATTTTCTTTTTGCACCTGTCCAACTCACAGTTTTGGACTGATTTCCTTCAAACTTTCAGGATGTGCTAAGTTCACCGAGTTGTATAACATATAGTTCGGGTTTTTTGAGGTCACTGACCTGAGGTCAGTTAGAGGTCATTACGTCGTAATGTTAAGCCTATGGGAAAATACTAAATTCGGAAAATACTGGAGATATCCGCTTCGTTCTATCACTTTTGTGCTTTGAAACCACAGTACTTAACAGCAGGTCACTTGATGCTTCTTTGTTTGGTGTACTTATCCATGGGTCAGGTCAAATGAGGTCAACAGAGGTCAAATGACGTTTTTGCCAATAACTTGGCACACAATGACGCTAGAGCTTTGAAAATGGTATCATTGTGTTCCTGGTGATCAGCCGAATCGAATGATATGCGATATGATGCAATTTGGTTAACTTGAACTTAATTTATTAATTTAAGTTTACTTAACCCTCGCCCTGGCAGGGGGGGGGTCGATGCGACCCCCCCCCCCCCTAAGGTTTTTCGAAGATAGCGTAAAAACGGCGGCGCGCAGCGCCGCCAAATTTGGCACAGCCTATGGGGCAACCTTTTTACATATGACCTGAAAATTTCAGGTCCGGGTGACCTTGGGTCAGGTCACCAGGTCAGAAAAACCGGTACAAGGTCATGGTCAAATTTCAATTTTCTTTTTGCACCTGTCCAACTCACAGTTTTGCACTGATTTCCTTCAAACTTTCAGGATGTGCTAAGTTCACCGAGTTGTATAACATATAGTTCGGGTTTTTTGAGGTCACTGACCTGAGGTCAGTTAGAGGTCATTACGTCGTAATGTTAAGCCTATGGGAAAATACTAAATTCGGAAAATACTGGAGATATCCGCTTCGTTCTATCACTTTTGTGCTTTGAAACCACAGTACTTAACAGCAGGTCACTTGGTGCTTCTTTGTTTGGTGTATTTATCCATGGGTCAGGTCAAATGAGGTCAACTGAGGTCAAATGACGTTTTTGCAAATAACTTGGCACATAATGACGCTAGAGCTTCAAAAAGGGTATCACTGTGTTCCTGGTGATCAGCCGAATCGAATGATATGCGATATGATGCAATTTGGTTAACTTTAACTTAATTTATTAATTTAAGTTTACTTAAAATTTAAGAAAAACTTTAAGTACACTTAAGCAAGCTAAAAAGTATATCATTCGACGCGCCTTGACGTGCTGAGTTCACTGGTGCTTTTCTTTTTGCTCTATCCTAATTAGATCAAAAGTTATAAGCGAAAAACTTTTGACCTGTTTTTAGCGAAATTTCTACATTTATACCCCCCAAAACCCCCCTAAATATTGACCTAGAGCAACCAAATTTGCACAGGGACGAAAACTCCAGGGGGCCCACCTACCTACCAAATTTGGTGTTTCTAGGTGCCATAGGAGCCAATCGCGAGGGGGGGTCGCATCGACCCCCCCTGCCAGGCCGTGTTATGAAAAATGCCCTGCCAGGGCGAGTGTTAAAATTTGAGAAAAACTTTAAGTACACTTAAGAAAGCTAAAAAGTATATCATTCGACGCGCCTTGACGTGCTGAGTTCACTGGTGCTTTTCTTTTTGCTCTATCTTAATTAGATCAAGAGTTATAAGCGAAAAACTTTTGACCTGTTTTTAGCGAAATTTTTACATTTATACCCCCAAAACCCCCCTAAATATTGACCTAGAGCAACCAAATTTGCACAGGGGCGAGAACTCCTGGGGGCCCATCTACCTACCAAATTTGGTGTTTCTAGGTGCCATAGGAACCAATCGCGAGGGGGGGGGGGTCGCATCGATCCCCCCCCCCTGCCAGGCTGTGTTATGAAAAATGCCCTGCCAGGGCGAGGGTTAAAATATGATCTTGATTCAAGGTCAGTTCCTGACCGGATATGGTCATTGGTCATGCTGTAGGTATACCTACCTATCAATCATCCTTATTGTTCAGCTACACACCTTACAGATGGTTTCATCGTTTTACAATGCCTTCATTACTGGAAAACGCCAGATGACATTTTACTTGACCTGGACCTGCTGAGCTCTCAGCTGACCCAAGGTGACATGGAGTAAAATGTCCACATGCGATGAAGATAAATAAATAAGTTGTACTCAGTATCGATATACAACAAGCTGCCTAAATCCAATTTCGCGGCGCTGCGACTTGCGAGCCGTGGTTTTTATTACACACTCCTAGAAAAAAATGAGTGTGATCTAAGACGCTCCCTCCCCAAATCAGGGCGAAGACTCTCTTCCTCAATACTCAGCCTCTGGGTAGCGAAGCCACAAGCGGAAAGCGGGATTCGAAGGCTCGCCAGAGGCAGAAGGCTCGCAAAATATGTATATTTATGTTTTTGTTTCATACATATTTTTCAAAATATGTATATATTTGGGCCAGGTAAAAAGTCAATATTCATGCAACTAAATATGAAATAATTTATCAAATAATTTTGATATTTTTGGAAAGAGTGGCTAAAAAATCGTCAGCCTGGACGTCGTCGAAAATGCATTCAGTTGATCTCTAAAAGCCGCTTTCCTCAGAACACGCGTCGCTAATACAGGCAATATTTTTGTCTGACTTATAGGTTGAAAGTCATATCTCTACGAGTATAGGTCGCGTTGCATTATGTTCATCAGTTTCTTTTAATGAATTCGCCGAGGTGCTTTCGTCGCTCTAGAAGCCTATGTCAAGATTGCTCGCAAAAAGAATGATGACCTTTCTATGACCTAGCATGACGCAAAAAGTGTGGTCATTGGTTGTTATTTTCGAATTCATTCGAATTCATTCGGCCTAAAAATGATGCTTCAGAAAGAATGTGGTCTAAGGTATATGACTTCCATTTCAAATAATTTAATTTTTCGTGTCCACAACTTATTGCGGGCAAAGACCACCCGAAGAGCATTGCTAATAACTATGTGCATTGTAAAATGCGCATTCTGCAACGTGCAATACGCAACGAGCATGACTCAAGTCGATTACGAGCTTCCGCGAAATCGTTTTCGAATGACGTTCTCCACCGTCTCCCTTATTTTTTCAGACGCACGGGTAGCTGATTCCGTCCCTCCAGTATCGTCCCCCGTTGGACCGACAAACGGCACGGTCCCTGGTGCAGTCGGTAACTTCACCAGCACCCTGCCTGGTGACACGGTCCCTGGTGCAGCGAGGAATATCACCGGCACCAAGCCGTCTTCAGCTAACAGCAGCAGCTTCGGGAACACAGCCGAGGAACGGAATAGTTCTCCATTGGCCGAATCAGGTAGTACTTAGTTCTTAGCCTGCATAATTCATAATTATAATTAAATGGCACGATCCACGATGAGCCATGTTCATTTTGGGGGAGGGAGCGAGGGAGGGAGGGAAGGAGGCCGAGGAGGGAGCGGGGGAAGGAGGGGGAGGGAGGGAGGGAGAGAGGGAGAGAGAGAGAGAGGGGGAGAGAAGAGAACAGAAAGAGAGACGGAGCATGATAAGCATATTTAAGACTTAAGAGTTACTGAACTTATGTCACGATAGCTAGCTTCGGTATCAAATAAGCTGTTATCCGCATCGTATGCCTATTTTAAATGTTTTACATAAATCACACATTGATGTTTCATCTTTCAGAGCGGAGAGCAGCTCAGTCGTTGAATGGCACGTCTGCAAAGCAGTCCAACGGGACCAACGCTGAAAGTCGCGTGATTGCGATTACTGACGACGGTCTAGTTCGAGAGAAAATCCAATCGTCGAATCGATTGGCAAATGAAACGACGACGGCAAGCACAAACGAGACACAGGCCTCGACAAATGTAACAGACTTTACACTAGAACAAAAGGTAGCATCTAATGAACATTTGTTGCGAAAGTTCAAAGTAAAACTCGGTTCTAAAACAGCCTCAAACAAACAGCTTTGGAAGAAGTTGTTTGGGGGCACTGCGGCAAAGAAGAACTCTGGGCCACCGAGCAGCGCCCAGCCTTCTCGGCCGAGAAAACGTTACAGAGGCCGGACAACGATCAGACTCGGATAGATTTACCACCAATGTCAAAATCCATAATCTGTGAAATATATGACCAGCTCGCAAGGAATAAAAAATTCACCTATCGCGATGGGTTTAGAACACGTGCTTACTTTCGAAAATGTCAAATGTTCATGCACGTCAGCTACCGAATAGGACCTCATTCCGGTACTGCGCACTGGGGAAAGCATCATGAGCTGGTGTAAATGCAAGCATACGGCGAAAACCGCACTACATAGTCGCAGCGGCTTGGAAATTATTGCAGGACCGTGAAAAAAACTCGATAGAATGTATTTTGAACCGTTGTTGCATCATATTGCCGAAAAAAAAAACGCACACTTTGCACTCCAATAATAATCTTCGTAACTGGAAAAGGTAAGGCGACAACTCAAATGTGGCACGATCGCAGGTGATATATTTTACCTAGCAGTTCTACCAGGCACTTAAACGCTTACTATCGCACATAAATTGTCGCGATTAAAAACATCGTAACAAAATACCATGAGGGCTTAAAACTGTCTTTAACAAGCGACAATGCTACAAGAAGAACTCAACTATGATTATAAAAATTACCTTTAATTTTTCGGTCGTGAAACATCTCATGTTCCACTGCCCTTCCCATCATAATCGCCCCTTTCAGAGACAAAGAACGCAAAACAACGTCACGAGTGTATTGAATCACAAATACGTTAGCGCCACAGTGAGTGCCTTGCCAAGTTCAGCTTCCCGCTCAGTCCGCCGGGCGGCGCCACCAGCGCGAGGATTCACAGCACGCCGTACTTCTCGTCCGAGGGCCGCGATGTTTCGGGTTTTTCGGCGGCGTAGCGCTCGTGCAGGTCCTTGCAGTCCTCCTCCGTGATCCGCTCCCAGCCGGATTCCTTCATGTGGAACACTGGTGGCGGGGAATGCACGTGGTCAGCATGACGAAAGAAAAACACATGAACGAAAAGTATGATTTTGTAAGGACGTCATTCAAAAACAATTTAACGATTTAAATGCCTTACATTCTGCAAGCACTAAACGAATTAAGAAATGCTTATCTTTTTTCAATATCACTGACTTGACGCGAACTTTCGGCTCATGACTGAACCTTTTTACCTATGTTCAATCGACCGTCTCACGGGTTTCCAGCGATTAAATACGACAACCAAAAAAGTTCATGAAAAAAGATTCTACTCGTAAATCGCTAACAATCAAGATGATGACTATGCTGTCGATATAATATTCATCTTACAAGCGTGCAGTGAAAAGTCAAATGGGCCCAAATCGCGGTTGTGTACATAGGATATAAATGGTACAGTTACAGAACCCCCTCCTAGTCTGCCGGCTCACCTCGGATGATGCCTCCGGAGGCGGCGTCGCGGTATGTGGCGTGGTAGATGGCGCGCCGGCCCAGGTCGTACGCCTCCTGGTCGGTCAGGTCGGGTCGGTAGCCGGCGTCCAGCACGCCGTACGCGAACAGCGAGCCGGAACCGACCGAGAACAGGCGGCCTGGAGTGCGCGTGCCGTCTGTGTCCACGTAGTACAGGCCGGGCCCCTGACGGACGAGCGGTAACAGTTTAGTGCACACGGGCAGCCACATGGCATATGACCATTGTACACATGGCTAATACAGAGTCAATGGAGAGGAGACTCCCAGTCAACAGAAAATGGAGGGGATCGACAAGGGGACTCGTATTAGCGCGTGGGCGGCGACAAGACGTGGCAGCAAGATCAAGGACGGCAGAACTCTACTGGCAATCAGGTTCATGAAGCATTGTGCTTCACGGCGTGATCGTAGTGTGCTGATATTTGGCGCAAAAATTATGTCTGGCTGCATTTAGCATCATAAGGCAGCATAATGTGACTTCTTTAACTACAGAGACGACCACACCCACCCGTATCGGGGGGGGGGGGGGGGGGGAACTCACGCGCTTGTCCCAGCCGACGATCATGACACCCATGGAGAGTCCCATGCCCTTGTAGTTGTAGACCATGTTGGCCAGCAGTTTGGAGGCGGCTGCCACGCTGATCCGCTCGCGGTTACGCAGCTCGTAGATGCGACACTGCTTGGCCAGCACGCGCTCCCAGTAGGTGCAGTCGGCCGCGCCGCCGGCCATCGTGCCCAGCAGGTAGTCGTTGATCGGGATGATCTTACGCACCTCCTGCGAGGCTGGAGGACGTGACGAGCGGGGAGGAGCGGTCAGCAGTGATGTGGGAAATAGTTATTTTATTTGAATATCACCAAACCTTTTCATATGTTAAATCAAATAGTGTTGTGAAAGGCTTGCAAAATTGTGAACAAGCATGTAGTTGATGCAGATGCTTGTCCTCAAGCAGACACTGTTTGCTTGCTGAATGGGGCAAACCCTGCCTAAGTTTATGATCAATAAAACCCAAATGAGGTAAAACCACCGAGTGGAGTGATTAAAGCATTCTTCCATCAAAAAAGGATGCAATTTACAGGTCTTACCAATATAGTTGCCTCCTGTGGCTCTTGAGTCTGCACAGACGATGACTCCACCATTGTACTTGAATGCCAGGGTGGTCGTACCATGGGCGAAGTGAATCTTCATCTCCTTCCCATTCTCGTCTGTCAGGAAGTTTTCCAGTCCCTGAAATTAAGAACAGCATTGCAACATGATAAATTGTGTCATCTTTGGTTCAGTGTAATCACTAAGGACCTTATGGTTCTATGTATTCAACTTGGCAGTGCAAGGCACCATTGTCTGCATGGAGCACATGCTCCCTAGTCCCTATCATGTTATACCCTTGGTGGGCCTGTTCTTATTCATCTGAGAAATGCCAGCTGGGGCTATCCCAATTTCCCTGACCCAGTGAATCAGAGGAGTGCTGCTCAAGTAACTATTTAAAATAAGGATGAACCCCAAACTTGAAGAAAAGTTTATCTTAAGGTTAACCATTCCTTTGATTATGCTCAGTGAAATAATTTGTTGGCACACCAAAAACAACAATGACTTAGCAGAAACACTACATATCTTGTCACTGCACTGCTACCAGGTGAGAATTTCCTGACAGGTGGCAACCATAAAATGCACATGAATAAATTTCTCTAAATAAAAACAGCACAGGCTATCCTCAATATCCAATACATGTGGTAAGTGCTGACTGCTGTAAAGTGTTTTAGCTACATTCTTGTAATACTTACCTGACCATATAACACAATGGATCATGAATCAACCATATTACTGATAACTTTTAAACAGCATGCAAACAACTACTTATTTTAAACAATTGGGATACATTCCCAGATATCAGATAAAAAAATTAACACATGTGATTTTAATGAAAATTAACTCTTAAATTACCCTAAACTACACAATACAAAATTACCTACCCTAACTGAGGTAGCTCTGATTGCACATAGTTATACTTATATTATGGCGCTAGGTGTGCTCCAGCATTTTCAAATATTTCAAATGTTAAATTTCAGTTGAATACTTCAAACAATTAAAAAATTGAGACCCCAAAACACAAAGTCCTAAAGAAATATAAACTTTAACACTTTTAAGGAAGACCTAAGCCATGAGCTAATGCAAGATGGACTTGGTTTGGATTCATTATAGCTACTGGCACTTCTCTTGCAACCAACAGGATTGGCAAGTGTTCTTAACCTAACATCCATGATAAAAGAAACACCAGATAACCATGCCATAGCTTCTTGTTTAAAGGGCATAGTTCATAGCTTCCTGTTTAAAGGGCATAGTTAACTTTCCTGAGATTAGTTTTTTGCAATGGATTTTTATTTTTTTATGATCAAACTCATCAGATAATTATAAAACCCTTTTTTGTAAAAATGATTATTTTCTATGTTTTGATATAGGAAGAACTATATTCTACAAATAATGATGTTGGACCCTGAGGCTTATTACACGTTGACCAATCATATTTCGCAGCTTTGAAACCTAAGCATCAGCTGCATTGGCTGTAAGCAGCATGCTGCTTGGCTGATGATGACATGGCTGCATTCCCCAGCAAGGCACACATTATTGCTAAGAAGACATTGTTTCAAGTCCACAAACGACAAAACAGTGCAATTCAATGGAATGTCTTTGTCTAGGATGATTGTTGGGCTGTAAAAGCTCCTGATTTCTGCTAGTCTCAGCTCAAGCTACGAAACTGCTATTCCAGTTCAAACCCCATGTTAAAAGTGAGCTATTTTTCAGTGATTTGTACAAGCAAATTTCAAGAGTCTTGAACAAATTGCCACAGGTGTTCTGTTTTCAGATTCCACCCTAAATAGCAAACCACCAGATATAGGTCGGTACATCACAAACAATTTCTGACAATAAACATAGTCTGACAAAGCTAAGAAAGAACAGACTCAAAGTGCAACAGTTATTGATGCACATGTCTTTTCAGATAGCTTCCTCATCCAATGCACCTGAAATAATTTGTGAAATTTAAAGGAAGACTGCCACCTTCAAAAAGTTTTCTCAGATCGGCCTATGATTTATTCCCTGGACAAAACAAAATTTTATAATTCACCTGACAAAGTATCATCACGTGAATCGCGAAAAAAATTGTCGATTATCATACAATTATCAATCGGTTAATGTCTAGCGACAATGTTTACACATCACTAGACTTCAAGGTCATAAGATTATTACATTTTATTTGAAAAAGTAAGGTATTTTGATTTACTAATATATGATTTCATAAGAAATTGGTCATGTTTAATTTATTTTGCATTTAAGTTCGTAAAACATTTAAAAAATCATGGCTCATTTGGAATGGGTCTGGCCCATGTTAAACCCCGTTCCCCACACTTTTTTGGAAAAAATGAACTACTGAATATATAAGTTTAACTTTTATTTTGACACTCCAAAATTCTTCTCTGATCTCGAAACAATCAAAGTTTTGACATATATTTACCAAAAGATAAGAAAATTCATGTTTCAAAGTTATCGATAAACAGTAGAGATGTCGGTTTTCTTGGACTAAAAAAATGGCATCAAACTGAACTTTGGTCTCCGATTTCTCGCAAACGGGTTCGAATTTCGGAAAACCGACTTCAGTCTGGGACATAGGTGGCTCAGCTCTAGTGAAAACCGTTTTGTGGAAAAAAGGTGGCAGTCTACCTTTAAGGTAGGCTATATCAGTTGGGGGAGGTTTGGTCAATGGTTGTCATTTTTAGCACATGCCATTTTTGGCAACCATGTGCTAAAAATGACAACGCTATCAGCTATTTTTAGCAACGATGAAGCCGATTTCACTCCTCAGCGAGGAAATCACGATTTTGGAAATACAAGCACTGATTTTGGAAAAGAAGTGCTGCCACCTGGTGCAAGAAGAAGAAACCAGCTTTAATATGGCCGTTGTTTGTATGGTAGTCCAACGTTGAAGTATACCCTTTTTTGTGGCCCGAAGTTGGAACTTTAAATTGAAGCATCCGAAAATGATCGATATTGATCGAAATCATGATGTTGATGAAAAAAATAATATGTTAAGTTGAGAGAGGAGGCCATTTTATCCAGATGCGGTGGTTTACTTCTTGAAATTATTTTTGCTTACGACGACTGCCATGTAATGAGGGATAATTAGCAGCCGTCATTAGCAAAAATAATTTCAAGAAGTAAACTACTGCATCTGGATAAAATGGCCTCCTCTCTCAACTTAAAATATTATTTTTTTCATCAACATCATGTTTTCGATCAATATCGATCATTTTCGGATGCTTCAATTTTAAGTTCCAACTTCAGGCCACAAAACAAACTACCATACAAATAACAGGCATATTAAAGCTGGATTCTTCGTCTTGCACCAGGTGGCAGCACTTCTTTTCCAAAATCAGTGTTTATCTTTCCAAAATCTTCATTTCCTCGCTGAGGAGTGAAATCGGCCTCATCGTTGTCAAAAATAGCAGAATCGTTGTCATTTTTAGCACGTGTGACAAAAATAGCACGTGCTAAAAATGACAACGATTGACCAAACCTCCCCCGACTGATATCTCCAGTATCCAATGAACGTGTGAAGTGCTTCGAGGTGCTTTGCCTCCATTCTTTTTTTTTAGGTTTGTCAGATTATGGCTTCTATAATGATCATTTCTGAAAGCTGACATAAAAATCCTTCTGAATTCAACATAAAAAGCATACAATACCATTAACTACAGCACAACCAAGTGAACGGTACAATGAGACAATTGCGGCGCGAACAAAAAACATGTTATAACGAAGACTCACATTGATCCGAGGGATCTGCAGGCTACAGTGGTCATCTAAAATGGAAGATACACTCTTCAGATCTTCCAGTGTTTCATCTTCGGCTAAATCTAGCTTTGTATGAGCCTTTACCGGCACACGGCACACAGCCTGCAGCGCCATGTTCGAACCGAATCTGTCGAATGACTTGCAGTCAAGCTTGGGCGTAAATAAAAGGGGCGGTACTATTTTGCTGACAATTCTACAGCCATCAGCCGTGCCCCTCATCCTATGAGACTTCGACATAACCCGAGACGAAGAGTTTATCTTATATCAATGAAGCATGTTTCAAGCCAATTCAGAAGGCTACTACTTGGTAGCGTTAGTAATAGCGACCCTAAAAAGCATCCATCAAAAGATACCTTACCTTACCTTACCTTACGGTAGGTATCGGGATTTTTAGGCTTAGAGCCTGTCGTACCCGATCTCATCGAGCTCCTGGTATTTGGCTTGTCGAGGATCAATCGGAATAGGGAATGGTGTATCGTAAGTGGGACCAGTGTGCATCCAGCCTCGCCTTGAAGCAGTTGAGCGATGGGGCGCAGACCACCTCAGACGGGAGTCGTTTCCAGTCTATTTATTTATTTATTTATTTATTTCACGTCGTGAGGCATTCCATCATACAATGGCTATTCATAGCCTCGAGTCAAGAAGGTACAGTCGGTGCAGGTGCAATAGGTGGGTACATAAAAACGCACATGCATGCATACGAGTGAGTGAACGGCGTCAGATATAATATAAAATAACGTCAGCGAGTCTGATCAGCCGTCATTCTGACTCCTCAGAAGCCACTCACGCAGCTCTTTCTTAAAAAGAGAGTGCTGCATTATGCATATCACGCATCGCTGGTGGGAGTCTATTGAACGCTGTCACGTGAGAGTATAAAAACCTCCGCCTCCCAGACTCTGATAAAATCTTGGGCGTCACGAGATGGTCTGACTGTCGCGTGGATCGGCGGGTGACATCCTGTCGAGTGATGAGACCACTCGAGAGTGCCTTTGGCTCGGATGTGCGCAGGATCTTGTTTAGCAGCGTCAAGCCATGGTACAGATACAAGTTATCAGCGGTAAACCATTCCAGCTGTCGCAACACGTCGCTAATGTGGTCGAATTTCCTCCGGCCGGAGATAACACGCGCACAGAAGTTGAGGACTCGCTGAAGGCGGCCAAGCTGAGTCTTGTTCGCAGACCCATACACAGTAATACAGTAGCGTATCAGCGAGACAACGAGTCCCTCGACCAGTCGGACCATGCAGGACTGTGGCAGGCAGTGCCGGCTGTGAGCGAGGCCACACAGTGTGCCGGTGCAGCGGCGTACAACGTCATCAATGTGGGCCGAGAACGTCAGGCTCTGATCAAACACGACACCCAGGTTCCGCACAGTGGGGGAGCCGGCGACAGTGGCGCCCATGAAACTGATGTTGACAGGTGGAAGCCGCTTAATGTTTTGCCTGGATCCGGTTAAGATGAGCTGAGTTTTTTCTGCGTTGACTTTCAAACTATTTGCTGAACCAAAGAACGTTCTCCATAGTGACTACTAAGGAGCCAATGTCGCCGGGCCCCCCAGTGACCAGAACCTGAGTGTCATCGGCGTATTGCACAATATCCGCGTCGTTGTCAGCGTAAAGAGGCAAGTCATTTGCATACACGGAGTACAACAGTGGCCCAAGCGCTGACCCCTGGTAGGTACCGATGGCAATTGGGGAGCGGTCGAGAGGTGCACCGAGAGCCGACGGACATCTGCACACAGACCTGCTGGTAGTGGTCGCTTAAATAGCTCTCGAACCACCGTGTGTCAACGCCGTATAAACACAACTTGTTCAGCAGACGGTCATGCGGAATAACATCGAAGCACTTTGACAGGTCGAGTAATGAGATAAGAACAACTTTGCCATGATCCATCGCGGTAAAAACTGAGTCGGTGACGGTAAGAAGCGCGGTATCTGTACTATGGTTCGGCCTAAAACCATGCTGACTAGAAGAAAACAGGTGATGTGATGAGAAGTAGTAAAAAAAAACTGTTCGTACACAACACGTTCGGTGATCTTGGCGATAGTCGGTAAAATAGAAATCGGTCGGTAGTTTGAAATGTCGGTAGATTTAGTCGATTTCTGAATCGGATGTACGAGCGTCAGTTTCCAAGCGCGAGGAACATGATGTGACACGAGGCTCGAGTTGACAATGTGCGTTAAAATATGGCACAGCGACGGCAGACACTGTTTTATAAAATGCACGCAAAGTCCGTCAGCACCGCACACCTTACTGCTCCGCATTCTCCCCACCACTCGGCGCAGGTCGTCCGGGCATATCGGGGTGACCTGGAAAGCCCCAGTGGAGACGCGCGCGGGTCGGCAGCTCCGGGCCGGCCGCTGTCACCTGTCGAGCGGTCCTCGGGCCCACCTCCACAAAGAACCGGTTTAGTTCGTCGGCGTCGGCGGCGGGGGTGGATCTGTCGCTCCGCTTCGGAGCCACTATGGGCTGCACGCTGCGCCACAAACCGCTCGGCCCGGCCCGGTCCACGCGCCGCTCTGCAGCTCCTCGCGCGTGTCGCGCCGTATCGCCGACCGGACCTGGCGGTTCAGCTGCTTGTAGGTGTCGATGTGACCGTCTCGGAGTGCAGCCCGCCGCTGTGCCATGAGCTCCTTGGTGGCATCAGTGACTGGCGGGGCGACCGGGTTCCGCACCCTGACACGTCTCTCCGGGAGCAGTTTGTCCAGAATGGGTCGTGTCACGGCGAGCAGGTAGTCCCACTGCTCCTCCGGGCTGTCACTCGCATACACTGGAGTCCAGTCCACCTCCGTCAGCTGGCGATTGGCCTCGTCCGCGTCAAACCTGGACCAGCACCTGGTGGCAATGGTGCACGGCTGTGGCCTCTGGTCCGACACGGACAGCAACACTCGCGACCAGTCGAATACGAGTCGTTCACGACTCGTAGAGCGAACGAGGATCGTCGCACTCTCGAGGTTGCCGGACATTTCCTGACTTTGTATGGATGCCCACGAGTAACTCCATCGGCCAACGTGAAGAACGTTTCAGGGTCGGTATCGACTAGCCCCCCGTGAAACAGCTGGTACATGAAAATCATGTCTCCTCTATACGTCGCCTGTAGTAGAGTGAGAGCATCTTCAGCATTCGGAGCCGCCATGCACGTAGAGTTCGTGACGGATGTTCTCAACCAGTCGGGTTGCCCTGCGCTGCACTCTCTCGATCAGTCGCTGTTCCGCTCTGTTAACCCTCGCCCTGGCAGGGGGGGGGGTCGATGCGACCCCCCCTAAGGTTTTTCAAAGATAGCGTAAAAACGGCGGCGCGCAGCACCGTCAAATTTGTTACAGCCTATGGGGCAGCCTTTTCACATATGAACTAAAAATTTCAGGTCCGGGTGACCTTGGGTCAGGTCACCAGGTCAGAAAAACCGGTACAAGGTCATGGTCAAATTTCAATTTTCTTTTTGCACCTGTCCAACTCACAGTTTTGGACTGATTTCCTTCAAACTTTCAGTATGTGCTAAGTTCACCGAGTTGTATAACATATAGTTCGTTTTTTTAGGTCACTGACCTGAGGTCAGTTAGAGGTCATTACGTCGTAATGTTAAGCCTATGGAAAATACTAAATTCGGAAAATACTGGAGATATCCGCTTCGTTCTATCACTTTTGTGCTTTGAAACCACAGTACTTAACAGCAGGTCACTTGGTGCTTCTTTGTTTGGTGTACTTATCCATGGGTCAGGTCAAATGAGGTCAACTGAGGTCAAATGACGTTTTTGCCAATAACTTGGCACATAGGTAATGACGCTAGAGCTTAAAAAATGGTGTCATTGTGTTCCTGGTGATCAGCCGAATCGAATGATATGCAATATGATGCAATTTGGTTAACTTGAACTTAATTAATTAATTAAAGTTTACTTAAAAATTAAGAAAAAACTTTAAGTACACTTAAGCGAGCTAAAACGTATATTATTCGACGCGCCTTGACGTACTGAGTTCACTGGTGCTTTTCCGAAGAAAATCGGTCTGTATCAGTGCCTTATGCAGGTTTCAACAGAACTGTAGAGACTCTGTCGTTTAAATAGACAAAGCCCAAGATATTAAGTCATTCATTGGCATGGGTCCCTGTTCACTATGTGACGACTGAAAGGCACCACCAGCTTCCGTGTGTACTTATGTATACTCATTACTCCCTCAACACCTCATTTGAATCTTATTCGGTCCGGTCAGTGGCTGGCTCCTTCATCACCATACTTATCTGTTTTCATGCTCATTTGATTTTGGTCAGTCCTATCAAAACACTTTAGTGTCAACTGTCAATGGCGTATGTAAACGAAACCGCAGACGACATTGCGGCGACAGGGATGCTATCCACCCCTGATATACCTACTTCTTATGTAGTTCCAACCTCATAACAAACAACTCGTTGGATGAGATAAAAGGCATCTCTTGAACAGCTCACATAGAAGTGATGTGTACGTACATACGCATCCCGCATCCGTTGTTTGCTGCGGTGAGTCATAGTTGGTTGATAAGTGCTTATCTTGCTTTGTCCGTATTCCGGCGAGTGATTAGGTGGTGCATTCATGATTCATGTATATTGATTTTACCTACCTTTTACTTGATGGGGGTCTTAGAAGACAACTTAGGCAGTTGATGAAGGGGGTGCAAAATGGCCACGACGAGTACGTATCTCAAAGATAGAGAGAAAAAGAAGAGCGCAAAAACATTAGTTAGATGGCTCCCGAATGTTTTTTTTACGGAGCTATTTGCCAGATTTCGCTCGGCCGAGACCCCAGTGTCACTAAAGATCATATAAGGGTGCATTTTCTCGACAGACGTGACAATGTCCGACGCCTATAGGTCGTGATGTGCCTAAAGATTTTTACCATTAAAAGCCTTCCCGTAAGTAGGTATGCCTATAAACTTGAACTCAAGTCAACCGTTTGGTCTATACAGTTTACAGATGTAATTTGTAAACAATTATAAAATATGACCCATTCCAGCAATTGTCGTTGGACTGCAGCCATCCAACTGCGATACGTTGAATTTCAATTAAAATTATCGCCGGTGAACCGGGCGCGGGACAGGTCGGGTAGTGGGTCGTGGTTTCAATCGCAGCGACCACTGCTTAGGTTAATAAGTGTGTCTCTCGAACCTGGGACCAAAGCCTCCCATTCACCCTTTCGGACTAAATAAGAAATCACCTTTATTCTCGAAGTACGAAATAATCTCATACAACGTCAGTACGACAAAAACAGCGTCAACAATATGGCACACGGCACAGTGTCGTCTGTAAGCTTTAAACTAAAATATATAATGAAATAATGCTGCTCATTCGTTTTTTGGCTTGATTGGGGTCCACGCCGTTAACCATAATAATTTTTGTTATATAACGAATACGACCTCAATCTACGGAAAGAAAAAACGGTAAAAATTTATTACCATGGAAATTATGAAGAGGATGTTGATAAAAATGCACGTTGCACAGCAAAGCTCTCCGCCCCCCGTATCTCAGACTGAATCCACACGTTAAAACTAAAATATATTTGTTCATGCACAATTGCTTGGACCCCGATGGTACACTAAATCCGCCGGTTTCGAGGGTCACCACGCTTTTTGGAGCACACCAGTAGCCACACGGCCAGCCCGGCGGAGACGGCCAGAACGGCGGCGATGCCCACTACTAGGAACAGGGTCAGGCGCGACACATCCAGCTGGGCGGCGGTGTCGGCGGGCTCCGGCCGCGGGTGGCCAGCGATGACCTCCGACCCAGCGTCACTCCTGGCTGGAGGACTGGTACGGACACCAGCCCGCTCAGTGGTGGTCTCAGCTGCGCCAGTTGTAGTTGTAGTTGTAATGCGTGCTAGCTTTGGTGTCGGACAGTGCCCTTTTTCATTGAGCTGCCGCACAACTAACTCCTCCATTTCAGTGAGTGGGCTAGACTCTTCTTTTCCGATGAGCGCACGGAACCAGTGCTTCAGTCTGCAGACGAGCTGCTCAGGAGGAGTGATGTTCAACTCAGTCATGCTGAAATCGCCCCCGTCTCCGAACGCCAATGATCCATTTTCGGCATGCTCAACAGTCAGCTCACGGAAGACGAAACTGCCGCTCGACTTCTTCTGATCCCCGCCGACTCTCATGTTGACAAACGCGCCACTCTGGAGCCTTCCAATTGTCACACGCTCCCACTGAATGGTTCCGCGTGAAACTACGTTCAGCGCACTGGACGGCAGCTCTCCGAACCGGGAGTCGGCTACATGTAGGTGATCAACCGAGACATTTAGACCATTTTTCTTCGTCTCCTGAACCTCGGTATCTTGCAGGGTCAATTCACCAATAGTGCCGTGAATGCCTTGAGTGTGAAGTTGTTCGATGCTGCAGTTCTTGAAGACTAATTCCTTCAAAGCTCCATCGCTCGTCAGGCACTGAGTGCCGAGACGCTGTATTTTGACACCATCCATTTCAATTCGACCAATGTGTTTCCCAAAACTATCTTGCTCGCAGCGAAATCTGCTGACATTATAGACGACGAGGTGCCTTATTGTGGCTTTAAAGGAGTTTCTGTTAAGGGCCAGCTCATTTATGTTCTCTAAGGTCAATTTCGGACCAGGCCTTGATGTGAAGCTAAAACCATTTTCGTGGATCTGCAAAAGTTTGATAGATCTGAACGTTAGTTTGGCGACGCGATTCCAGGAGCCAGAGAAGGCTGACCCACGTATCTGAACTTTGTCTACATCTTCGACGGCGAATTCGACAGGACTGCTCTGCAGCTGAAGGCTTCTTTCCTGCAGTTGAAGACGCCGGACGTTCTGCACCGATATTTTCAAAGCAATTGGATGTGTGGAGTCAACTAAAAATGATTTCTCGAAGATCACATGCGGTGTGTCCTTGACAACGATTTCCTGCACCGTTTTTGGGACGAATCCTTCATTCAAGATAATCTGAAACAAGATTTCGGTAGTTAGCTTGGTGACATAAGCTTGAAATGCGCTACAACCAGTATAACGCCATTTGGGGCGACTAACGGAACGAGCGAGGGGGTGAGCCTTGCACGTGCAAAATTTCGAGGGGGTACCTCCAACTTGTCCACGGCACCCTACTAACCGGTATCTAGCGATGTGCCAAATTTGAGTACAATCGGCCCAGCCGTTTTCGAGATCTGGAAGCGGCACCCTGCACGTGCGCACGTGCAAAATGGGTCCCAACTGACTTATGCACGCCACCCTACTAACTGCTCCCTAACCGCGTACCAAATTTGAGCGCAATCGGTCCAGCCGTTCTCGAGATCTGGAATCGACCCCTGTACGTGCGCACGTGCAGCAGCATTCCAAATCTGGCACATGGATATGCATTGCCTAGTGGGTGCCTACCTACATGCATGCCAACTTTCAGCGCAATCGGCCCAGTAGTTACCGAGAGATATTGCAACGATTACAAAACTGACACCTCTTAAAAATGACAAAACTGACACGTAAGTCTCGCTCGCTTCGCTTGCTCCGTTATAATTATAGTAAGGGCAACGGTTTACGCAGATCAAAACTCGCCATTGGAAAACGGAGCGCATCACATCGCGTCCTTTGGCCAGGTGCACAATTACGATAGCATCTTATTCCGACCTACCTTCCTGGGGCATTGGCAGGTGACGCTGCGAGCGGCCGAGCAGTTGGGCTCCAGTGCGCAGCACTTCAGGGCGCAGGCTCGGCCAGTACGGGATATCGGCGCCGCAGTCACAGTCAGGAAAAGAAGCGGTGGTATCACCACCAACAGCAGTAGTGCTATTGGCAGCCGGCTGACGCCCCCCATGGGCGACCGGGCCGGGCGCTCACTTCTCACACTCATGGGCGACCGGGCCGGGCGCTCACTTCTCACACCCATGGGCGACCGGGCCGGGCGCTCACTTTTCACAGCTCTCCGCTCTCACGACAGGAACATCAGCAGCAGCAGCGGCAGCAGCAGCGGCAGCCGCAAATGCGGAGAAGAAGTGGTGTAAGCCATAATGGCCCCGACGGCCGATTCCTGCCCGGCCGGAGACGCACCTCCCCCGGCCTCCTCCGAGACACTGAATTGGCGCGGTGAACAAGGGTTCAGATAAGATAGTCGTGAAGGCTGGTAGGGAAACCACGGGGATCCCCGGCACTGCTTCAAGTGGATGCGAGGAGGGTTAACCCTCGCCGGACCTATTGGTTTTCTACATACGCGCCGGCCGAGGGGGGGGGGGGGGCGGGTACGACCCCCCTCGCCGTTTCGCCCCTGGTGAAGCTAGCGCGTCGCAGAAAAAACGAGCGTGTGCGCGTTTACGAGACGCAGAGATTGGTACCCATTTGAAGGTCCTAGGTCAACCGGTGACCTCTGAGGTCAGGTCAAGTGCCCCAAGGTACGGTTCAGTTTTTGGTGAATAACTTCGCAAAAAACGGCCGCAGAGTGCCAATTTTGGAAGAATCGTGTTCGCCTTGCTCAGGCGCGTCGAATGATATACTTTTTGTCCGGGTCAGGTCAACTTGGGGTGTTGACCTCAGGTCAAGGTCAGGTCAGCACCCCCAGGTCACGAAGCTGGTCGAAAGAGGTCATGTCGCATATCATTCGATTCGGCAGGCCTTCCTGAGTCCATTGGTGGCTGTCCGGACTCGCTAGCGCAATTTGATCAAGAGTTATTGACGAAAAACTAATATGACCCTGATGACGTCATAAATGACGTCACGCAAGGTGAACATTGCAAAAGTGACGCATCTAACCTTGCAAGGAGTGCATCAAATCACGATTCTGTGTGCTTGAGATAGTTGGAGATCGTTCCCGGCGCCAAAATAGCAGTTTTCATTTTTCCCCATTGACTTATAATGAAACATGTCGCAGTGGGAGAAGAAACAAAAATGAGCACAAAAATTGTTTACTGTAATGCTGCGGATGCTATGCGGATGCGGATGCTCGTATGTGACCAAACGTGAGCATAATAAACTGATTTTGTGTTGGGCAGCAACATAAAAGCGTAATGATGCTAATTTCATTCGCTTATTCATCTAAGGCAGGCAATGATGAAAAGCACCCAGCCACCCGGTCTGAAGTTCGATGTTTTGTCTGCAATCAAAGCACAAAAATCGGGATTGTTAACCCTCGCCCATGTTGGTGCCCCCTGAGGGTTTTCTTAGCTACACGCCGAACCGTTTCAGATAGCCTGCTCAATTTTGCAGTACCTACTACCTTCTGGGGCATCCTTTGCGCAACTTTTGGTATTTTTTTGTCAAGGTCATGTCAGGTCACGGAGTTATGACGTCATAAAGGGAACAACCTCCGGCCAGATTTACGCTAAATTGGAGATTGCTTCACATTGGTATAAATGCCGACACAATGTCCGTTGACATTTTGAAGGTAACTAAAGGTCAAGGTAAGGTCAGTGACCTCGGTTGACCTGTAATGACTTCTTGCACTTGTATGCCTTTTCGGGGTATTTTGATGCCCTGAATTCGAATTTGCTATCCATTTCAAGCATCGTCGGTTGTTTCTTGTAGTTCATTTTGGGTCAGGGTCAGGTCAGTGACGTCACACGCCTGACGTGACCCAATGCACAAATGATCTTGCAGACTTCCGATGCTCCAAACGCATCATTTTTAGAGTTATGACATCGAAATACACACCAAACGATAGAGAATTGATTACGGATCACGATAGTGAAGGTTTCAAGTCGATATCTCTTACCGTGTTGCCGCAATTGGCGCGGAAATTTGAAAAAGTTAGATATTTTCCAAAAATTTGACCTTTGACCGGTCATAAGTAGGTCAAATGTTGACCTAGGACCAAAAAATATACCACCAATCGCGAGATCTCGTTGAGATCAATCCGTTGGTCTTTTCTGCTAAGCTCTACGACGCTCCGTTTTCAAACGCCAGGGGGGTCGCACCAACCTCCCCCCCCCCCTGCATGGGCGAAGGTGGCAAAACACCGTTTACGGGCGAGGGTTATAATGGTGAGGTCACGAAAATGACCTGACCTCATATGAACTTTAGGAAAAATCCGAGATATACAAGTTGTGGGACTCATAATGGATACTAGATCCTGCAAGTTTCATTTCCCTGTGACATCTCTGGCAGTGAGGGCGTTGCGAAGTTGCGACATCTGAAGACCGTGCAGAGATTTTAACGGGAAACGGCGGGGTCTTTTGATTTGGTTAAAAATCGGTATACAGGGCCTCCTCGATGCGCTGATTCCGAAAATGTTATTTGGCCGTTAACTCGTTAACGATGCAAAATACCACCCCAAAGAGGCACCTTTTCGGAATCAGCGCATCAAGGAGACCCTGTACACCGATTTTAAGCCAAATCGAAAGACCCCGAAAATTTGCTGCTGAAATCGATATATGCTGCTGAAATGTTAACGGATCGTTAACTTGTTAACGGTGCAAAATACCATCCAAAAGAGGCACATTTTCGAAATCAGCGCATCGAGGAGGCCCTGTATACCGGTTTTCAGCCAAATCGAAAGACCCCGCCGTTTCCCGTTAAAATGTTAATTGGTCGTTAGCTCGTTAACGGTGCAAAATACCACCCCAAAGAGGTACCTTTTCGGAATTAGCGCATCGAGGAGACCCTGTACACCGATTTTAAGCCAAATCGAAAGACCCCGAAAATTTGCTGCTGAAATCGATATATGCTGCTGAAATGTTAACGGATCGTTAACTCGTTAACGATGCAAAATACCACCCCAAAGAGGCACATTTTCGAAATCAGCGCACCGAGAAGGTCCTGTATACTGATTTTCAGCCAAATTGAAAGACCCCGCCGTTTCCCGTTAAAATGTTAATTGGTCGTTAACTCGTTAACGGTGCAAAATACCACCCCAAAGAGGTACATTTTCGGAATCAGCGCATCGAGAAGGTCCTGTAAGCCGATTTTCAGCTAAATCGAAAGACCCCGCTGTTTCCCGTTAAAATGTTAACTGGCCGTTAACTGGTTAACGGTGCAAAATACCACCCCAAAGAGGTAAATTTTCAGAATCAGCGCATCGAGGAGGCCCTGTATACCGATTTTCAGCCAAATCGAAAGACCCCGTCGTTTTCCCGTTAAAATGTGTAATTGGCCGTTAACTCGTTAACGGTGCAAAATACCACCCCAAAGAGGTACCTACATTTTCGGAATCAGCGCATCGAGGAGGCCCTGTATACCGATTTTTAGCCAAATCGAAAGACCCCGCCGTTTCCCGTTAAAATGTGTAATTGGCCGTTAACTCGTTAACGGTGCAAAATGCCACCCCAAAGAGGCACATTTTCGAAATCAGTGCATCGAGAAGGCCCAGTATACTGATTTTCAGCCAAATCGAAAGACCCCGCCGTTTCCCGATAAAATGTTAATTGGTCATTAACTCGTTAACGGTGCAAAATACCACCCCAAAGAGGCACATTTTCGGAATCAGCGCATCGAGAAGGCCCTGTACACCGATTTTCAGCCAAATCGAAAGACCCCGCTGTTTCCCGTTAAAATGTTAACTGGCCGTTAACTCGTTAACGGTGCAAAATACCATCCCAAAGAGGTACATTTTCGGAATCAGCGCATCGAGGAGGCCCTGTATACCGATTTTCAGGCAAATCAAAAGACCTCGCCGTTTCCCGTTAAAATGTTAATTGGTCGTTAACTCGTTAACGGTGCAAAATACCACCACAAAGAGGTACATTTTCGGAATCAGCGCATCGAGGAGGCCCTGTATAGTGTATACCGATTTTCAGCCAAATCGAAAGACCCCGAAATATGCTGCTGTGATGCTGATATTCGTTGCTCCTGAATTGATAGACGTACAAAATGAAAAGAAAATCTGAAGTCTTTTCCGGATTTGGAAGCAAATCCTGCGGCATAAACAGCGCGCATGCTGCAGTTATTTTACATTTCGAGTATGTTCAGGAAGACTGTGGGCCTGAAATTGCTCGATTTGATCGGGTGATTCCGCGCAACAATTTGCTTATTTTTGCTGTCAGCGCTCACACGGAGACTGGGATAAGATCTTCGAGCAGTACCTACGTTCTGGCGACATGGATCACGTATCTTGTTTGGATCAGGGGTTTCTTTTAGGTATCTTGGGATCAGGTCAGATCAGGTCAAGGATTATTTATAGTCACCGTGAGTTCTCAATATCACCGTGACCGTGGTCTTGGATCACGGTGTGGCCGAAATAGCCAAAATAGCTCAGTTGGGTTGGGAAGAGCGCGGAGAGGGTTAGAGCCGCCGTCAGACAGGAGTTTTGTAGCCTTGGTCAGACTGAAGGATCTTTGGATCACGTTACGCAAAGGTAGGGGAGTGGTTAGGACTTCAGTAGGCGGAACTATGGTCATGAGTACCCAAATATAGGAACGTTCCCATTTTTGGGAACGGAGTTCCCAAATATGGGAACGGGCGTTCCCATTTATGAGAACGGAAGGCAATTTTTCGGCCGTTCGCCCACTAAAACTCAAAAGTGCATCACGTCTCAAAAAAGTGCACGCTGATTTAAGTATCTACTAAATCTCCATAAAGTTATCTTTAATCTGACCGTGGAACAAGGAAATTGACCGTGGAATGATATTTTTAATGATTTTTTAAAGATGACAGAATGGTGGAAATATGGGTTATACGACATTTAACATGCAATTTTAAGGAAAATGAAGCATTTTTTAGTTTGAGGTAAAGTATAATAATTTTCGCCTGGTTATGAACTTTCATACTATCGACACCAGATGCTGACATATGCAAGCGAACACGCGGACAGTCCCGAGGTAATATTGTTGACATTTGGTGTCGAGGCGGACGACCGCGTAGAACGTGCGTGATTTTACCGAACTACTGTTGTAAACTCAGTTTAAGTGGTCGAAAATTATTCAGCTGTATTTTATCAGCCCGGAAAGACATATTTTATTTGGATGCTAGCTGTTTAGCATTATTTTATAAGGAGCGTCATGAGCGTGGTTTTTGTCTTCCGTGTTTCTAAGCATGATCGTTTTGGGGGAATTTCTCTTATATAGGTCGCTCTGGGTGGCTTATTTATAATTTCTATGCTGATTTCGATCATTCCTCGTGCCCATCCTACCAGGCCTTTTGTCACTTACACTCATTAAGAAAGGA